TTAATAGATATCCAGTAAACATTAGTCCCTTTTCTCTTTCTGTCCTTCTTTTGTCTTTATTTCTTTGTTCACGTAGTCACGACTAAGTAAATACTCCTAGGTAAGATTAGTCTTATTTTGTTTTCCTTCTCTTCTGCATTTTAAAATATGTGTATGACATTATGTTTGATGATGTTATCATGGAAGTGGCACTTTTTTGATTTTAAACAGTTATGTCTGTTATTTGTAGAGCTCTCACTGTCCTCTTAATGCTTACTTGAAAGCTGCTATAAGGGAATAAAGAGTTTGTACTTGAGCTTCTAGTAGGAATTTGCTGACAATATTCTTGTTTTTCCATGGACTCATAAAAGGCATTAGCTCTTGTAGGAGCTTTTACTGTTTCTTTGTGCTAAGCACGTAGTCTCTAATTATAGGGAGGTTCGTTAAGAATTGTTAGAATTCTAGCATTTTTAGTGCTAGAAGAAGCCTCTGGTTGTGTTTCATTTAGTTTTTTTAGTTTTCCTCTTGTGCAGTTGAAGGTAAAGGGCATCAGTCCTTTGGCTACTATGATGGAGTGAAGGAGGGAATAGAGATCAAAATCATGTTTCTTAGCTCCTAGTGGCTTGGTCTCTTCATTTCGTTGTGATCAGTTTTAGCCTACTTATCTAAAGTTAATATTTAGCTTGCTTCTGAAATATACTCACAGCCATTCTATCAAGGTCAACTTATTTGGTCTGCCAAACTATAGAATTGACTTTTTTTTAGACCCTTCCTTTTATATATCATACCAAGCAACTCTGGGTTAAATCATTGTAGATCTTTGTTTTTTCCTTTCCCCACTAAATTATTAATATTTGAATGATGCTACATATCAGGGTAACTTATTTTCTTGTATTACTTTACAGTTTTACAAATTTAGTATCTTATTTGAATCTGAATTTTGAAAGCAGTATCCAAGATCTAACTATAAAAACTTGCCAAGATTTGTCTGCTTTTAAAAATGCTGTTTCTGAGGATATTTGTTAGACAAGATTGCTAACATGGACATATTCCTTAAGAAGTTTCAAAATTTACCAGAAATTTTGCTCTAGAACATACTTATGTGAAATATTTTGTATATTGAAGAAACTTTAATGTTCTTGTATCATAACAGGCCAACTAGTATAAAGTTTTTCCAATCTTAATTAAAATTAAGTTTAAAAGTTCAAAGTCTAATTACTGTTTCAGTCATTTCAATTTGTGATGTGTCTTCTATTCCCTTGTTTGAATTCTTATTATGAAAATTTTTTCTCATTAAAACCCATACTTTAAGGTAGCATCTGCTCTGTGATTGGTAATGAACTGCTTATTTAATAATTAAGATTTTTTTCCCCCCTGTCATTTTTCTAGTTCAGTGCCTCAGACTGTGGGAACAAGAAATTCTGTATTAGAAGTCCTTTGAGCTGTGACCCAGAGAAGGAGCAGGCCTGTGTCTTCTTGTCCTTCACAAAACATGACCATTCGGTGATGGTTGAAATGAGTGGTCCCGGAGAAGGCTATTTATCCTTTGCATTTTCTCATGACCGATGGATGGTTAGTTCCTCTCACTTACATAAGTGGTAATGAAAGGAGAATCACTGGAGTGAGCTTTAATCAGCAGTAGATTAGCTCTTTTTTCCAGAGTCAAATGATCATACTTATGGGTGGAGTGGGAAAGGAGAAACTAATTTGGACAATTCCAAGTTAAATGTATCATGATTTTAACATTTGGGCAATTATGCCTTCAAGAACAGGCTATCTTAAGAATAGTTGGAAAAATCATTTTATTTCCAGTAGATTTGCTGCTTGATGTCTGTCTCTTTGTGATAAAGCAGGAAGATGGTTAAAAACTGTGCCTAAAATGTCATATTGGTAATGCTTTCCAAACCATAGTGTTACTCAA